GAACAGATGGACATTTGTAAGTCCAGCACAATTAAATGTTATACTATGATTATTCCGACTGCTTCATTTATATAGTAATACTGTTCTTCCAACGCAAGTGTAGTTTTCTTTGTTCAGGTTTTTTGTTTTTTTGTTTTAATAGCTGCAGGAAGATGCCAGAGTTACAGTAAGAGAAACAAAAAACCTTAAACCATAAAACGTCTCTCTCAATTCTTGTGCTGGTGACTAGTGGTAGCAGTTAATAAGTTAGTTAAATAAACTAACAATAGATTTGTTTCTCATGCTTGTTTAAGTCCTTTCCCGTGTTTCTTGTGGACTTGGAAGAAAATGCTTGATTTAGCTTTACATTTAGTCTCCTGGGAGCCTTCTGTTAAGGAAAGGAAGGACAAGTTCCCTACCTTTGATGGTGGACACAAATCTCTAAACAGTACTACACATCACCTCTGCTAGAAATTCCTTAATTCCTAGGGCTCAAATACACCTGAGCAAAATTTTGGCTTTTGAAAGAAAAAGATATTGCCAAACTGCCAAGGATTGTGACACCTATAAGTGATACTCAGGATGTACCCAGACACATGCCCTTCTGAATTCCAAGTAACAAACACCCTGTGAAGGCAAATATTTCGGTGAAAGCTTTTCATTCTACTCTAGTGGAAGATTTTGCAATATGGATACTTGCATGCTTTAGTTGGGTGTTTTGACCTCAACTATTTCACGGAAACCAAGCAGCCAGATTCAAGTTACCAAGATACAAAACAGGGAGCTTCTAGGTGAACTATTCAATATTGTTTTATTGTTTTTATAACCCTAAAAAAGTTAGGAGTTAGGAAAGTAGTTCAGCAACTGACAACAGATAGGAAGAACAATTTATACAGAACAAGATTGCCTAAAATTTTAAGAAATAAACGTAGCCATACCAATATAACATGGCATTTAGTTCAATATTTTGCTTATAACTCCTAGAAAGCATGTTTTCTCCACGGTTTAATTCACCCACTGTCCTGTGTCCTGCTAATTGAAATGGACCAGATGGAACTACTTTTAGAGCTCACCAATACCACTCCTGCACTGACTGAAATGAATGCTACAGAATCACACTCATACCATATACTAAAGCAGCTGTATACTAAAATATTCTGTAGTAGACTGAGTTAATATTTAGATACTTTACTCCCCCCCCCAAATAAAAATGGTCAGCCTAGAGTGTAGAGTTTATCAAGCCCCAGGCATCAATCTGAAGTCCTGATACAAACAGCAACAAGCTACCTCACAATTCTGGATGCTAACACTTCTGAGTTGTGTGTGTCAATTCATAAACACATACTTCTTTCTGGGTGCTCAGGTTCGGCATTTGGATTTAGCTCATCATGAGAGCAATTTAAGTTTTTTATCTGAATCTAGGTTTTTTTTAACCCCAAATTTTTGTTCAAGTCTCTTTTTACTCTGACTAGTTACTTAAGCAGATGGTAGGGTAAACTGACCCCTTATACAGCAACTAAACCAGAGGTGTGTAGCAGAAGATTTCATAAGCAGAGGGCTTACTTCATCAGGTGCTGTGAAGAGACAGCAGGAAGCAGAGCTGCTAAACAGAAAGCACTGATCAGAACACAAAGTGTAGAGAAAGGGAGAGGAAAAAGGTACAGGCACTGCTGAGAGGCAAAGTGGGTAGGGGAGAGATAACCAAGCCATTAACCAATCGACGGACACAGGCAGGGTGGTTAACAATCAATGATTTAAAAAAAAAAACAAACAAACCACAAAACCCCCTGGATTTTAAAAATTTAAATCAGACTTTTTTATTTAATCACTTTTTTTATTTTTTGGTAAGGATTTTAAAAAAAAATAAACTTATATAAAGATAGTTTTAATTTAAGAAATGTTAAAGCTCAAAGATATCATCATGGAATAGGGATTATAACTTCTAATTGTATACTACTTGAGACAATATATTCATGTAACCTTTTTAGAAGAGTTCTATAAATCGGCCATAACAGGCCATGGACTATATTAGGGCCCAGTCTTATGTGGCTCCCAGAGGCTCCTCTATAGATTAGTAAAAGATTAAAGAAAACCACTCTACCCAATGGGACTCAGTGCTCAGTCTACAAGATCCCATTTAAGCATGTCTGTGATGCTTAGTTTCAGTTCCCAAACTGTGGATTTGTATCTCCAGAGAATATCCTTGTTAACAGCACCATATGGAGAGGAGAGAGAACAGACTTGATTACCTACCCATGAACTCTATTGTCTCTCTGCAAGTGTGTGTACACAGAGTCAAGCCCTTACCTTTCTCTAAAAGTGCAAAGTTTCAAGAAGTTAAATGAATAAAGGATATCAAACAAGAATGCACTTTGTGTAGAAAACAAGTATTAAATCGAGGCTTCCTATCTAGTGATTTAAAACATGATTTAAATCTATTTGATTTAAATCAAATTCACCCTGGACATAGGGCTTATAAAAGCTAACTCAGGAATTGGGATAAAAATCCAGAGCCTCAGTTTAGAACATACTTAAACCAATACAGTCTGTAGATAACTTGTTCTGCAATCTCCTGGTCATTTTCAAAGTTTTGTTGCGTAAGAATGGCCACGCTGATGTCAGTGATGGAATGCCCATTTGATAACACTCCTAACTACCTTTCTCTAGGTTACTTAACCCATTTAATTTACTGAAGACAGACATCTTTTGATTAGTGCATCTGAAATTCAGTGTAGTCCCTTAATCCATGAATTTTGAGGAAAAGGATGAGCAATGCTGTTACGCCTCAACTCTGTATTCTTGGGCAACCCTGGCACAGGATGCAGTCTGTCTGACTCACAAAGGACTCACCCCCCCTCCCTCCCCTCCTCTACCTAAACAAAACTGATTAAGATGCAGTGAGAGACACACCTAAGACCCTCCAGATAAGGGTGACAAGAGTGAACCAACTGCCCTAGGTCTCATTTGCATCCGAGATGGAACCAGATGACCATTCATTTACATGAGAGATGGAGAACAGAAAGCCTGAAGCAGAGACTGCAGTGAATTCTGGGACCAGAGAAGCAGGGGAGCACTGCATGATGGGGAATCTGTGCTCTAAATGTTAATCAACCCAAGTTCTCACACAGCCAGCTCAGCATTTATCAGACCAGTTCTAATCTGGATTTGCTAAGGACTTTCCCCACCCCCAGACACACACACACCTCTAAGTTTAATAGGCATCTCGGGCCATACATTCCCCGGTCCCACTATGGGAGGCCTATTTAAACTTGATTGACTAAAACTCGGTTGCCAGGTTAGGGAATGCTGAGGCAAGAGACCGAGTCAGAGGGGGTATGGGCAACATTTGAACAATGGTTAAGGGTTCATCACAACGTCCAGCCCATTGGAACCCTAATCACAGGTGTTGTCATACTTTTCTCGAGAAGACTGGTGGGAGTCCTCTCCACAAAAGGTTATGAGCACCCCAATAATTGTCTTAAGTCTGTTAAAAGACTACAGTAAAATCTGGAAAAGTCGTGCACAAGCCTCAGCTTAGCATAACAAGTAAAAATCCAAAATCCTGATGCTGCAAGCTATCTATTGTTTCTGAAGAAACCATGAGATATCCCAACAGTATATCTGCCATCCATAGGAATTTCAAGCTGGCTCCCAAGTATTTGGGTTACTCCCTAATCTTAAGTGTTTCCTGATTATCAATCAGTTTCCTGAGATGGTCCAAACCAGATAACCCCTTGTCAATAGAAAAGACAATGATTTACACTACTGAGGGTGCTACGGAGCAGCTGAACTGAGGGTATAAAAATCTGTAAGTGTGTGTGCTTGAAAGAAAGGAAGGAAAAGAAGTAGAAGCAGGAGGAAAGAAGGAGAAGAAGAAAACCCCTGTGCTGACACCATCCCCTGTCGTTCTTGGGACGCTGGAAGAACAGATCATCTCTCCCTTCAAGGACTGTGCTACAGACTGTGCCTGTCAGCTTTGCAGCCTGAGTACCGTGGACTAGGTGAGATCCCAGCGTTCTCTGTCTTCTTTCTAGGCATAAACTTCTGAACCTGAACTGTATCAGTTAAGCTTGAGCTAAGTTTCCCCAAATACTTAGTGAAACCAGGGTAGTATTGTCATTGTTGGTGTTTGTTTTTCTTTTGCATGTCTATTACTACTAGTACTATTATATATTTCATATGCTCAGCAATAAATAACTTTTATAGTCAAACTGGTAGTAATTGGGTATATTTTTCCTTCTCTGCTTCTCTTTCCTCCCGTGCTCTGCAGCAACGCTTCTTTTACCTAAGCTAAAGATCCCTGTGAAGCCCAAAAATATTGTGGGGTCTGCTCATCAAGAGGCCAAAGATTGGGACATGCTGAGTTTGAAACACATAAGGGGATCAGCTTGTACAGGCTGATTGACCCAGTTTGACTCAGACGTGCCCTTATGAACTGAATGCTGGCCCATGAGGGTGTCAGCTGGACACCCAGCCGGATTCAGAGGGATTCTGTTTACCTGTGTGCTTGTGTCTGACTGCATTTTATTGTTGCTCTTATGAACTGATTCTTGGCATATGAGGGTGTCAGCCTGTCCATGCTGATCAGCCCGGCCAGGTCAGGCGTGTCACGTTAATTTGTGTGTGTTTGTGTGTATGACTGATTTGGTGACTAGAGGAACCCAGTCCCATTGAGATTGAGTCCTGCAAGATAGCTCCACTGGGGGTGAGGGCTTGCAGAAGGGAGAAATACAGCTCCGTATAGTAACACAAGCAGCACATTGACCAAGACCCTAGAAACATTGAATCACCAAGACCCTAGAAACTATCCTTAATAAATGAGCACACCCCAAAGTAATGGGCAAATTTGGTAACAAGGCATAGCAGTTTACACCACTTCCTTGAATAGGAAATTACAGCTTCCACTGTTATGGCACATAAGAACTATGCCTCTTTACACCCCAATATGGAAGCCTAACTGGTAATTATGAAAGGCATGCAAAATATAGGTCTATTAAAAGCTTCTTCCACAATTAACTTACCACAGATGCACCTCTACCAGTCTGCGTACTACCAAGCCAAGGCATGTTTATAGGGGTGCCAGGATTGCTGTGAGTATAAGGTGTAGTACCCTGAACAGTTGACAGATCATCACGAGCATGTACAACCAAAAAGTCATCAGACCTATAAATGTAACATTTGCAAGCAGAGTGATAATTAGACAGGTTCTTTAAATAATATCATTGATTAATCCACATTCAGTGCAACTGACATACCCCAAAATTGCCAAAGCTGATAAAATTATTTATATAATAAACATACCCTTTAGTTTCAGTTTCTATTTCATCGTCAACCCACGTATAGATTTGTGTAGCTAGAATCCCAGAAACATCTAGTTCTTGAATGTCGTGGCTGGAAGCTATGGCAATGCAGTTCCGATTTGCCTGAAAAAGTTACAAAACAAAGAATGTTAAAGGCCCTCTCTGGGGATTCACTGTTTCAACTGGAATTATTCTTTTGCTGGCACTTGTTTGCAGACCACTAGCTAGCTGATCCGCAGGGACAAACATGTGCCTGTCAATCAGGCAGGTGCCTATGACTGCATACAAAGAAGATGAAGTTAGAGAGGGTGAAGTTGAGATACATTTGAAAGTCAGTGTCTGACCGTCTAGGATGGTAACATATTTACGTTATTAAAATCGTAAGCCTTCTCCCTCAGGAGGCCCAAGCTGTCTCTTGTTGGGAGGATCATATAGCTTGCTTACAGATTACTACATACATTCTTATTTTACAATTTTAGTATCCAAACACCTTATGGACATGTGTAGGTAGGGAAGTTCTCTCAGACTGCTACCTTATCTTTCCCCCCTCTCTCTCCATTCTATGTAAAAGTTAAATGGTCTGACCAAGAAAAGAAACACAGGAGAAAGATGCTTTCCCCTACTGTCAACTCTTCCATGCTTCTCCTTGCCTGAGGTGTACAGCTACTCCTCGCTTAATGTCTTGAAAAATGCAACTTAAGTGAAACAATGTTAAGTGAATCCAATTATGTCACAGTAGTTTCCTACTAGCAGGCGGTGACCAAACAATGTTATAACTGAACATGGCGCGACTTTAAATGAGTAAATTCTCTAATAGATCAACAATGTAATAATGAAACAACATTAACCAGGATGATGTTAAATGAGGAGTACCTGTATATTTCTGTTAAGGAAAGGTGGCAAAGTGCAATTGCCCCTTCTTTACTCTGTCTACTGCTCAATGAAAGATAAGGTAGGAGGAAAAACTTGGGGAAGGCAAAACACTGTGCAGTTTTGATTTTCTATAGCATGATTGTTGTGAACCTGGACAAAGGAATCTGAGCCATTCTGCAGGCAAGCAGTAAAGCCAACTCTCATGAAACAGTCACAAGACTCGATTTCCAAATCAAATTAACCCTAACTCGCAATCTCAGGATACAAACCTCAGATCTCAGGATTTGCCTTCCAGCACATGTAGAGAGAGCCCAGCTGGTAATTCTGTGGAAGGGAATGGGATGGGGGGGAAAAAGGGGTGGGGGGGGATGAGAAGAGCAAATCAAGGCCCCCACGGTGAGGGAGGAAGTGGGGCAGAGGCTGGGGTGAATGGGGCAGGTTGTGCGGCAGGCAGCTCATCCAGAGCAAGGTGGGGGTTCAACCCTTGGGGAGGCAGGGGGGGCACGTGCCCCCTGGATTTGTGTTAGGGGCAGAGGTGGGCTACCTGCGCTGTGGGCAGGGGACACACAACATGGCTAACGCGTGGCTCCCAGGGGTATGGGCTGGGGTGAATGGGGCTCCAGAGTTCTCTGTGTCCCACAGGTGGCATATCCAGAGGTGCAGGGGGTGGTGGGTGGCTTCCCACCGTAGCGTGCACCCTTGGGGGAGGCATGGAGGGCATATGCTCCCCACGGTGCAGAGGTGGGTCTCAGGCTGGGACTCTGTGCCCTGCTGCCTTTGCCTCAGGAGCTCAGCTGCATGATGCCATTGCCACCCACTGGGCAGGCAGGGGACATGAGGCGTGTCCTTTGCCCACTCAATGGCAGGAAGCACACTAGCATCACATGGCTGAGCTCCTGGGGGGAGCTCAGCCATACCCTCGGAGTACACACAGCTGTGGGGAGAGCTGCGCCACCCAACCATGCCTCTGGATGACTTGTACCCGCCCTGGAGCCCCATTCACCCCAGCCACTGTTCCGGCCCTACTCCCTCCCTTAACGTTGGGGCCTTGATCCCCCGCCCCTTCCCATCCACTTACCAGCTGGGTACTGTCTGTGTCTGCTCCTTACTCCCAAGCCACAGCCCCCCGACCTCTGCTGCTGCCTCTCACTGATGACCCACAGTACTATGCATCCTACCAGGGTGTGCAGGAACCCTCCTTCTCCGGGCTCCAAACCCCACACACACACACACACTCACAGCTCCACACACCTTCACAAATACCACCCCCCACACACTTCAAAAATAGCATGTCATGATTTACATGCTAATTTTGATTTTTTTAAGAGTTCGTCTCATGATTTTTGGCATGGTGGAGTTGGCAATACTGCAGTAGCACTCTCACTGTGTTAGAATGTATCTATTTAACAATCTAAAATATAGTGTAATAAAAAATAAGAACAATTTTAGAGAAACAAAGTTTCTTTATACTCACTTTATTGACTGCAAAAGCAGTAATGATGTCAGATTCTTTATGAATAATTCGTGCTTTACCTCCTGGATATCCCAGATCTGTTTCTATCTGTATTCAGAAAAAATAAGATGCTTGTGTAAGTACACATAAGCACATGCAACATTTGTTTTACAGTAGAATAATGCAAGCCAAATATTTAATCATGTGCGAATAAACAAAACTTGTGCATTTATTATGTAGCATGTGTCCAGTAGAATAAACAATTGATATCACTGGGGAAACAACAGAACATTCAAACATTAACCAATTTAGCTTCCTTTTAGTGCATAGGGATTGCCTAAGTAACAATGCATCCTTGGTTATCCTTATCTCAGATATTCAAGCTCTCGATTATCTTTTATTTCAACTTTATGTATTTTTAACTGTATTTACGTGTAAGCGTTGGTACTGTGTAGCAAGCTGTCCTCTTTTTAAGCTTTATTTAATACGGCCTACGTATCGTTCAATTTGATCCATTAGCTCAGGGGTGGGCAACCTTTAGAGGCTGTGGACCAGTTTGACCCGATTTGGGTCAGAGATGGGCCATCACTAAATCCTGATTAGAAGTGCAATATGTGTACACGCTAAATCCACAAGGTATTTCTATGCCAGGACAAACAGGCATGAATGCAACACCTGTTTCCAGTCTAAAAGCATGCTGGACTATCTTGCACATTTTATTATTGCAAAAGAATATAGCTTAAGTGTATGACAGCAAAACATTTTCTCTTGATTCCCACCCCCCAAGTAAAGGTGGTATCTGAATCTGTTAGCTTTCTAAAGCACTTTCATCAGTGAAACTGAGTGCATAATGTTGTCTCAGCTATATGCCAAGGTACAGTAGAACTCTAAAGATGATCCCTCTTCAGGGAGTACTGATATCTCTGAATTATTGTTTGAGTTTTAAGTATTATCCATAATGCTAGATCTGAACAATTCCTGCAGGAACAAATGGAAACCACAACCAGGCAATGAAATCCTTCAAAACGTGAATGCCAACAGAAAAATTGGGATATGAATTATGCTTAAATTTAGTAAGCTCTCTGCTGCAACAATGCAATGCAGTAATACTACTCTACTATAGATTCATTCCAGAACTACTGTACTGAGGTACAGAGAGATGAAAAAACACAAATGAAAAGTTTAGAATCGTTTTCAGAGTAAATATTTAAAATGGTTTAAAAATTTTATGAATAACTTAATATTAGGACCCATGAAAATTATAGTACTTCAAATTAGTAAGCTCATATAATACTGAAGACTACAGCTAGCTAAAAACTAAAGCTATAGATAGAAGCTATAATGAATACTAAAAACTGAAATTTTTAATATCAGACCATGATTAGAATTGATAAGTGTAAGAGCCTTGTAACATGTTATACTGTGAGTTGCACAAACGGTGATCCACGTTAGTGCTACAGTTTGGAGCAGTCGCATATTCAAGGCAGCGGGATTCCCCCGCCTCCCTTGTTCCAGGCTTCCCCCTCTGCACCCCGCTGCCAACCCCTTCCTGTCAAGTACTTGTGGCTGCCCATGCTGTGCGTTTCAGCAGTTAACCCAGGGGTGGACAATTATTTTGGGCAGAGGGCTGCTTACTGAGTTTTGGCAAGCCATCAAGGGCCGCATGACAGGTAGCCAGGGGCAGATAAATATACATTTTCTAAATGTTTTAGGGGCCCCGCGGGCTGGATAGAATGGCCTGGCAGGCTGCATCTGGTCCACAGGCCGCATTTTGCCCACCCCTGGGTTAGCCCTTCCCTGCCTACTCCCTCAGGACTGACAGTGCAAGCAGCCATAAGAGGACAGAGGGTGGGCTAGTGAGGGGTGATCTGGAGTGCTGGGAGGCAGTGGACTAGATGCAGGCCAGCTGGAAAGCAAAGACAATGGGGTAGGGTGGGGTGTTTTTATGAGCTGGTTGACACAGATCAGAGATCATACTACCCTGGAGTGGTGCATCTTTGAACTACATAATGAGTGCTTACAACTAGTTTCAGGTGCTAATGTGCAGATAATCCAGGTGTTACAAGCTTCTGAAGCTGCTCAAAATTCCTATATAACAAGGTCCTCAGGATTTTGTTTTGTCTGGAGAAGCACAGTTCTGTGGTTACAGCCCATCCAGAGCTCCTGAGTATCGTTCCCTGTTATGCTATTGCTAACCTGAGTATACCAGGAAAATCATAGCTTCTATGCCTCAAATGACCTAGCAATCAAACGAGTTTGACATTTACTTCTCTGGCATTGCTGCTTTAGACTTTACAAGCCACTTGAATAAGTGACACACAAATGCAAACCATTATTTACTTATACAATTACCACAAAAACAACAATTTAGTCAGCAGTATACATTATACATTCTAACACAAAACACGTTTCAGTGCAAATATGAGAGACTAGAGTTTGGTTTTGATTTACAAAATGTCCTATACAATGTTATTGTTCTAACTTCTTATGAAGCTCAGATTTCAGTTTAAATTGCTACACAGCAAAGTTTTCAAAAGGAGTTAACAGTGAATATCAGTTTTATGAATGTCAACAGTAAGTTTTACCTCTAGAAAGACTAAAATGTTGAATTTAATTTGAATATTATGATAATGTACCTTATTGTTGATGGGCTCCTCCATCATAGAATTTTTGATGGTTTCACTGTGGTCCTCTAATGACTTTACCAAGAAAGAATAACCACATGACAAAAATTGAAGATGAGATGTAACATGAAAAACACTGTGGAAATCCTTAATCCTATGTTAATTTTCCCAACACGCAACAATTAAAACAACACACTGATTTGCACAGATAGTTTACATACAATATATATTCGGCTAAGTATTTATTCTAAATTTAAGTTTGCTACAGAAATCATTTTAATTATGCTATGTAATAGCTTATCAACTTCAGTTCTCAGTTGTTTGCTTAAAATGTTGGACCTCACAGATGACATTCTGAATGCATTAACAGTAGTACAGGAATGTGGCTAGACACCCTGGGCAAAGTGGAAGTGGTGACTTCCAGTTGCCACTGTGATCACAAACCTGTGGCTATCAGCAGCAGCCGCATGTTTTTGCGCCCACCCTACACCACATTGTTACCCTGGGTGGATACCCCTATTGACTCCACCTGTCTATTAATAATAATCAAGAGTGGGGTTTACAGGAGTTTAAAATGCCATTATTGCTTTAAGGACATGGCTAGCAGTTCTGCTTTATTCTGAGGTGGCCACTGCAATTGCTTCTGAAGCACTAAGAAGCACTTTTGAAATATTTGGTATCACCTTTGTCCTGTAGAAAAACGAGTTGTTATCAACTTTAAATAAACATTTTTGGTAGAAAAATGCCTTGAAGGGAGAGGAAAAGAAACATTTTCAGTTATTTTCTCCACTGTCTTGTTCCAGTATTGTCATGATCAGAGAAGAATGGGTTGTTTACTCTTGAATTATTTGCTCGAGGGGATAACTTGAGAGTAATAGTTATCACCAGCTCAGTACAAAGCAAAAGCAGTTTATGATCACAAGTCTGGATTGACCAAGGGTTACTGTTTTTAGGGTTATTGTTTTTCTTCATCCTAACAAAATCAAATACAGCTAAGATGTTGTAAGTGAACGACCATACAAACATACACATCTGAACTTAACTGTATCTCCTGAGCACATTGAAGAATACAGCACGTGAATGAGACAGTACTAATGCAGCTGGCCAACGGAAATGACTACAGTGTATTGCAGAAGTATACAAGCCAGCTTTAAACTAGCAGTATAGCTGAAGCTGCAGAGAAACAGGATAAGTTAACCCACCCTTAGCTCTTTGCTGCTCTGGCTAGATTGCTACTTTGCCGTTAACTGTCCATAGTACACTTTTTCTGATTCAATCGTTTCCCCCTATTTCTCCCAGTCAGTAGTTCTTCTATGATGTGGACTACTCATTTCGTGCATCACTGTCTTGTCAAGTACTGACATGAAGGATACACTGTGGATAAGATTCAACGCAAATGGAGTAAGAAAAGGAGGAGAATAAAGAAATTAACTAGCAGTTGAAGGTGACCTGAGATGCTTTCAAGCAATATGAGGTTAGTTTTTCAATTAATTTAAAATTTTGGTTTTAAAAAAATTATCTGAAAAAAATGGGGAAAATTGTAGGAAAAGGTGATAGGAAAAGAAAGAATAGCAAAAGTTGTACACTAAACAAACTACATCTAATCACTGAAAAAATGTAACAGTCCCTACCATACATTAATTTTTATTCTAACTTATGCTTAAAGAACAAAATAGCTTTAAAATACCATAAATTTACAGGGTCTCTGTCTGAAGGAATACCACCTTTTGTTGCATTGCAGTGTTCTGAGGTTGTACTAGGCAACATTTCACCACTGTAATAACTAAGTTAAGGTTTGATGTGATTTGACTGTGTTAGTGCTATCATGTTCATTGAGTACTCTGAATGATCGCATAGGTAGACCTGATTAAATGCTTTATTTATTTAGGCTAGAGAGAGAACCCTTATAGAAGTTTACCCATACTTAGCTGAGAGAAGTGCAGTAGCAAGTATGGGGTAGAGGACAGACGTTTTTGTACACCAATTTCAGCTAGCCAGTTTATTAAAAATTGAGGAAGAAAAAAACCAGCTAGCCCATGGCCTGATATAGTACAGATATTCAAGTGCTGTCCCTGGCACACTGCAGTGCTGTATTTATTTTGTTTCTTTAAAAACTAGAATGCAACAAGGTACAATTCAGTGAAAAACTGTAACAACACACAAACTAAGCTGGTCAGGGGAAATCAAATTTCAAAGCTTTGCTTAATTATGTTACAAATCAGAATCTTTTTGATTGATATATTTTTACAGAACCTGCCACTCTTTTTAAGGTAACTTCTATCAATAGCTTGAGCCAAACTATTATTCTAGCCAAGGGTTTATTTTATGTCATTCATGAGGCAGATACTGGCTATTTTCATTTTGAGCAGATGCACAGCAAGCTCACACACCAACAGAACAAAGTTTTTTAAAACAGCAGATTTGGATCCAGGCACATCCTCAAACACCAATCATATTACCTATACAAGTTTTTGTTCTATGAAAACAAGCATTCAGATGCCATAACTTAATAAAGGCTTAAAACATACATATTTTGCATAATATACAGACCTCACTGAGGCATCTTTTCTTCGTAAATATATTTCGGATAAATGTTTCCTGGATTACTTCCTGCTTAACCAGGTACTGCCAAAGTCTCTTCACAGACAATGCAACATGACTTTTAGATCTGCTGATCAAAGTTAAAAAAAAGTTTATGCTATCATGCTAGTAATGAAGTTCTAAAGTAATTCACATAAAATTCTACCTAAATAAAGTGAGGAAAAAGAAATGTTAACATTATGACAAATGGAAAAAGGAAATCAAGAGTTGAAGCATGCATGGATCACTGTCACAGATTAGCACGCAAATATTTATATTTAATAATCTTGTATTGCAGCACGGGTGCTGAATGTTATACTATACAATAAGTTACTTTAGAAATTGGCAAAAACCCTGCACAGGGAGAAAAAAACTTAATAGTATCAGCTTAAATTCTTAAGTTCCTAAAAATGCTGAGTTCTTGCTCGTCAGATAGGGCATTTGTAGATAACACAGGGGTTTAGATTGAAGCGGTGGTTTTTAAAAAACACTATTTCAATTTGGGGCAAAGTAAATCCCTGTGACACGTACATCCGTGTCCTTACCTGCCTCTCTGGCACTAGGGAGCAGAGAGTGAGCTGCCAGTAGGCCTGAGCTGCAAGGGGGGGGGGGGGGGGGGGCTGGCACTTCCCTCCAAGGCAGCAGCCCCCAGGCAGCACCCACCCACAGGCACCCAGCTTGGGCGGTCCCAGGGGGCACTGCAGCTGCAGAGGGAAGCACCGGGCACCCATGCAGCTCAGGCAGGCAGGCAGGCTCCAGAGAAGGGGGAAAAAAAAAAGAAAAAGATCAGGCTCATTGATTTTTTTTTCTTTCCCTTCATTGCAGCCTGCCTTCCTGGGCTGCTGCGGGGCTGCCTGTTAGGGCTGTCTGCACAGCTCCTGAGCTGTACGGAGCCCAGTGATTCCCTCCGTGGCTGTAAGGTAGCAAACAAACTCCTCGGAGGTATTTCAGTTTGCTGCACTCCAAAGTCATCTAAGGCACATTATGCAGCAAATTTGCTGCAGGGGCTGGAATTAATATGCAATATGCTGACAAATTTGCAAACTCATGCAAAGAGCAACACCATTAAAGAGGTGCAAAAGGGCTTTAACCGCTTTCATGTGTCATCTACAAATGCCCATAGATTTTATCCCATTTGACGAATGTCCTTGGGAATAACGGCAGCAGAGACTTGGGGGTCATCATTGACCACAAGATGAACATGAGCCTGCAGTGCGATGCTGCGGCTAGTAAAGTGACCAAAACGCTGGCTTGCATCCATATGCTTCTCAAGCAAATCCCAGGACGTCATTCTCCTCTTGTACTCGGCCTTGGTGAGGCCGCAGCTGGAGTACTGCGTCCAGTTTTGGGCTCCACAATTCAAAAAGGATGTGGAGAAGCTTGAGAGAGTCCAGAGAAGAGCCACGTGCATGATCAGAGGTCAGGGAAGCAGACCCTATGATGACAGGCTGAGAGCCATGGGGCTCTTTAGCCTGGAAAAGCGCAGGCTCAGGGGTGATCTGATGGCCACCTATAAGTTTATCAGGGGTGACCACCAGTATCTGGGGGAACGTTTGTTCACCAGAGCACCCCAAGGGATGACGACTAGGTCGAACGGTCATAAACTACGACAAGACCGTTTCAGGCTGGACATAAGGAAGAATTTCTTTACTGTCCGAGCCCCCAAGGTCTGGAACAGCCTGCCACCGGAGGTGGTTTAAGCGCCTACATTGAACACCTTCAAGAGCAAACTGGATGCTTGTCTTGCTGGGATCCTATAACCCCAGCTGACTTCCTGCCCTTTGGGCAGGGGGCTGGACTCGATGATCTTCCAAGGTCCCTTCCAGCCCTAATGTCTATGAAATACTGACAAACACTGAAACAAAATGGCCAAACAGTTGCCAAGATATCTGTTCTGGAATATGAACAGCAGACAGATCACTGCATATATACAGGAAATTATTTTGTTACAAAAACTTAAATTATTGTATAAAGTCTGTTTTGAAGCTATGTAGAGAAAAAAATCCTTTCCTTTCCTCTAGTTTAGGTTGTGTTAAATTTTAATCAACGGGTCTTATTATTTGTACTTGAAGATTGCCAAGGGAAGTGCAAAATGAAACAGAACAGTAACCTCAAAGCAGACATATCTCAACTTGCTCTCTACCAGAACAGGTTGCACTTTCATATAGTTTGTGAACGCTTCATATTTTAAACGAACTGAATAAAAATGAACCTTCCCTGTCAATTGGAGAACTGCAATTTAAGTTTGGTCCCTTGCCAGATTACACTTTCTGTTAGTTTCCTCATCCCTAGGAAATACAAAGCAGCAAAAAACAACCACCAAAAGATCTCTCCAAGGTGTTGGAGCCTTCTGAGCACTGGGAAGCATACAAAAATATTATTTTTGGCTGTCAAAGAAAGGAATTCCATATTTTGGAAACTGATTATTCTGTACATATCCCACAATTCTTAAAAACTCTAGGCTAAGTTCAAAACCATGAAGGAATCTGGAAGAACTTCCACTCCCACACAGAAACAGTGGCTACTAATTATTCCTATGCAATTTAAAAAATGGTTTTACAGAATTCTTATTGTTTTCACAAGACCAACATACTAAATACCCAAATTTAATACTGTGCAAAACAAATTCCTTAGATTGTGCTGATGGTTTTAAATAGCTAAAGGAAACTTCTGGAGTGCTGGATTGATTCTGGATTTATTTGACAGAACGGACCCAAAGCCAATTTGAAGAGAGCAATTTTTAGACTTCTAGAAATCTCTCTAAATGGAGCTGCATTTCAAAGGAGAATGTTTCAGTCAGCTCTAGCATAGGGACCTAAAAAAGCAACTTCTCATGATTTCCTGTTTTAATGACAAACTTGATATTAAAAAAAGAGAGGTACAGAGTCTAAACTGCCCTATAAAACACTTAGCTGACACTACATTTTTAGCTTTATGATGCAATATCGAATCCATGATCAACATGGATAACAGCTGGAAAGATACTTTTTCTCTTGATTTATAACTAACCTATTCAAAAGGGGGCAGGTGGAGGGAGGGGTTATTTATTTTAGATACTATCCTAGATTTGTTCTGATCTGTTTGATATGAACCTTTTCACAATGGGGATGAAGGATTTAGTACATTCTTCCTGTCCATCACGCACAGAGTCATCCACCAAAGTGACTAAAGCTCCCTACTGTAGTATTGATGAAACAGCTTCCATAGAAGCAGTAATAGTGAGATGAGTTTTTGACATCAGAGTTTGAGGACCACCAAATCTGACTGCTTTCTCTGCAGCTGATATCTTCACATCAGAGCCAGACTCAGAAGCATGCATATACATGTTTAACTATGCATATGATTTGAGCATTCAGCTATAAAAGAAAAATCAAGCGTTTGCACATCCAAATGGGCTGGATATGGTTCTAATTGGGCATCTTCACTTAACGTTATAGTAACCATACATACAAACATGCATTTCTGAAAGCATCTAAAAGGCCCATCCTTTGCCTTATGAAGGAAAGGTAATGAATGACTATGATGTATATTAGAATGATTATAAAAAAAAAAGTATATAAATTGCATGCACACCTGAAAGGAGTGTTTGTAGGTTCAAGCAAAACCTTGTGGCGAAGGAGTGCAGGACCTGCAGATAATGCTTCCTCAGGTGCATGAACTGAAATAAAATTTTGAGGGGGGCCACCGTATAACTCAAGCCGTCGGAGAAGAACTTGCTCCCAGCGCTGAAGTGTCTTTAGGACTGCATGACACAGCGGGGAGCTAACTGGAAGTTCTAAAAGGACAAAGCAAAGAAATTTAAATTATATTGGCATCTTAGTGTGAATTCCTCCACTAAAAATCTATATTGCAATGAAGCATTTTCTAAATTCACTTAAAAAGATGGAAGCAGAGATTGAAATGTAAAGAGATTAATTACCCTGTATTGCTTTATAGCAGCCTGTGATGTGGAAAAGGAACCAGGATATTTAGAACGGACGAGAAGTAAAACAATAGTAGAAATGATGTATTATGAATAACAAAATAAGTACAGGATTAATTAATCAGTAAAAATACTAAAACAGCCAGTAAGACATGTTACTGACAGCCATAAGTGATTACAAGGTAGACAAAAAACTCAACAGAACATGCAAAAATATCCCCAAATAATCAGGTTAATGTTTGTAGTCTCTAGTATCAAAATAAACTAACTGCTGAATGGTATTTTACAGTGTACCAATCTCTCTAAAAATAAAACAGTGTCAGGATAAAGTGAGCCAAAGCAACTGAAAAAAGTTAACTACGCTGCTAGATTACCTGAAAGATCATGTCCAGCCAAGGGATAGAAAGTCTTCAAATTATGAAGCACCATCTGAATCATAGTCAATCTCATCAGTGACCAACTACAGAAATATAATAAGTCATTATGATCTCATATTATAATCTTCCTTAAAAAAAGCTCAACTCTTCTCTGTAGTCAAAGATAGGACTATTTCTGGATTTAACCCCAAAAATGGCCCCACTGGCCAGGTGAGAGGCATGGTGCAGGCTAGTCTGGACCCATACACCAGAGTCAGGGCACAGGTCTGATCTGACAGACAGCTGATATAGTGTGTGCCGACACCAGTGCAAGGCTTGTGCAGGAAGCCAGCAAAAGGCGCACATGAGGTGCTGGCCCCAGAGCCAGAGTGTAGGGCTAATTTGGCAGGGTGCACGTGGCCTGGATCGGCTCCTCACGCCACATACAGAAAGAGCACTGAATCCATCCCCATGTCCTGCATATAACACATGCCATTGCCAGACTGGGGCTTGGACTGCACAAAGCACACAGACACAGCCGGGAGCATGAGCTGACGCAGTGCCAACACCAGACTGGTCCTGTGTGCTGGCTCCAGCACACAGGGATGGTCATGGGTAGGTCTGGCATGGGTGCCATGTGCAGCACCTGACAGACCAGCTCCATATGCCAGGGCTAGCATGTACTACGTGCAATAAGCAGTGATGGTCTAACAACTGCAGGCCAGATCCTAAGGTTCCACAGTTCCAGTCTGAAAGCTGTACCTCTGATACTCCTGCTCTAATTATATTCTAACGTTAAGGATACCTTGATTGCCAAGGCATTTTAAAGGAGAAGGAGAAGGAGAAGGAGAAGGAGAAGGAGAAGGAGAAGGAGAAGGAGAAGGAGAAGGAGAAGGAGAAGGAGAAGGAGAAGGAGAAGGAGAAGGAGAAGGAGAAATTAATTAAAATAAAGAAACCATCAGAATATTATGCTTGTTGTTTATTTAAAACTAGGCATTCTATAAACATTCCTAAGAAACACATTTCTTGAGTAACTCCCATATTTTCTCATCCATAAAGTACCTAGAAATGTACTCGCTGTCAATAGCATCAGAAAAAAATATTAAAATTAAGCCTTTTATACCTGTATGAATTTGAATTAGAATGCTCCTGAAGTTGAGAGTCTGATGCAAAAACATCTTCCTCACCCTCCTCATCATCATCACTTCCTTGGCTCTCCTCTGAATCATATTCTACTCGACTTTGTGAGGATGGAAGAAAAGGCTAAAATATATATATATGAAAGAATGTAATCAGAAAAACTATTTCTGTCAAAAAGCATTTTGCTCGTTTAAAACACAAATATAGTAACATCATAAAATTAAACACAATCTTGTCATATCATATCAAATCAGTCATTACAACAGTTTGAAATATATTCTTTATTAAAATAATCATTTTGGAATCAGTACAGCCGCCACAAACCCTGTACCCATCCACCCATACTCCCCACCAATATACAAAAATAAGACTTCATTTTAAGCTATTATGCAATCATCTCTATGTACACTACACAAACGCATATAGATCAGGACAAAATTATTTTTTGAAATCAAATTAATGTATGTTTGATTTTTAGAATATAATTAGTCTTTTTTCTTGTTCCAAGATGGCATATCCCCTAGCTAAAAGGAATACTTCCGGGAGCAAGGGGAGGGGGTAGGATTTCTGGGTTCAAGATGGCAACCAGGGGGTGGGGCAAAGGTCGGGGCTACCCTTGTGGCCCTCGGCAGCTCATCAAGAATTGTTAAGTGGCCCTCCAGGTGAAATAACTGCCCGCCCCTACTTTACTCCTATTCCATTATGGATATTCCTTTCATAAATTATATTAGGGAAACCGTTGAGGAAGACTTCATAAAAGAGCGCAGACATCACAGAGGAGGATAGAAGGGCAATTTAACAAGACAGGAAAGCAAATAAGTAGTGATAGTATCGATTAGGTAAACGCCATGCTTATTAGCCAACCTATAAAGAGGTATGGACACAGCCTGGCTGCTTTAGTTGAGGGGGCAGCCCATGCTGTGCAGTAGGAAGTGTTCAAGGGCATTGCTGCCAGGTATGGCAAGTTTGCTATGTAGACACGGCTTATGTATTGAAGAATAGATATCAGTTGAGATATTCAGAGAGTGGATTACACGCAGACTGATAGAATAAGGGGCTGATTTCTGCTATTTTAAATGGCTTGAGGGGGAAAACCACTGTGTATGAAGTGATCCGCACGATACAGTAGCCAAAGCTGAAACCCAAGAGAGTCTGGGAAGGAAGTTTTTTCCTTTTTTGAAAATGAAGGGTCTGATCTTTACAGTAATTGTGTAAACAGCAGAATTACTTCAGAGGTATAATGAGTTAATAACCGAATCTCTCTTTTCCCTTTAGAGAGAGAGAGGAGAGAGACTAGCATGAGTCCATTCAGGAAATCATCCTAGACCAGGAGAACTTAGAACTTCTTGACTCCAATCCCAAACTATGCTATCAGGGATATTCTCTTCAGTAACAATTATTAATGGAAATTTAAGTTCTTCATCTAGGAAGAAAAATTAGGCCTCTCCTATCTACAAGTTCAAGTTTACTTGCTGGCTAGAATCTGGATGACAATTTCTCACCAGCTGCTTTAATAAGTGGACCTAATATCTCTTACCTTCCTATTCTTTTTTAAATTAAATTGAGGAACTGTACTTTATAAAATTTAGTTTGATTTCTAGTCAGTACACAAATGTTTTTGGCTTAATTATTCATTTCAAACAGAAGGTACATTTTTAACATTGTGTCGTTTTATCCTCCATGTGCAGCTGCAATCTGAATGAGCAACGTTTCAGAACATCATCATTCATATCCAGTAAAATGGTATTTGAGATTGAATCAATTCCATGACTACCCTTTTCACCCTTGCAAAAATTTAGTGAGCATTATTTTAAGAATATTTTGGGTATCTGAGTAAGAAAGATAGATGATTTTTATCCCCTGCTTTAAAAGTAGAAATGGAAACACAGTATAACCGTATAAATCTGGATATCAAAAAACTGGAATTCTCGAAAATCCAGCACTTAAAAAAAATATACTACATTGGGGAGTAGCGGCAGCTGGTCCCAGGGCAGTGGAAGGGGAAGCTTGTACGCAGCAGCTGCTGCCACCATCCAACACCCTGCGCCACCGGTGCTTCAGGCCCGGCTGCCGCTCCCACCCCCGACAAGCCATGACCAGCCGCCACTCTGGTTTAAAAAATCCAGAATCGTCACATTTCTGGAAGGTGCTCAATCCTGAGCATGCCGGATTTATGATGTTATACTCTATATAACCTAGTTTCTGCTTAAATTATTACTTGTCTTAGAAAGAGCACAGTTTATATTTTACAACAGTAAAAATTACCTTTGCTATGAAATAGTCCCAGATACTAAGTTCGGGAGGAATAAACTTTTCCCTGTAAGGTGGAGATCCCTGTTCCACCGCTGGTGATGACGGAGACTGGGGACACTCTTTTGGAGACAATTTTGAGGAAAGTCTAAAACGTTTCTGTTGTTTTTCACCATCATCTACAGGGGAAGAAACTAAAAAATACAAAATCATTAAAAACTAGGGTGAATATTCATGATAGAAGCCTCACAGATATGCGTTTTCAGGATTTGATTTTACCACTTCCTTAAGACGCAAAAAAGTTGGTATCTCTTTTTATTTTACTGTACTAATTCTAAAACAATATCCAAAGCTAATGCAGATTACTTCATAAAACAGGACAGTGGTTAAACAATAGGGAGCCACTAGTCTACAAACTTAAGTATCCAGCCTGTCAAGAAGGAAATTGCTATTTTTGTGGAGATGGTGTGCCTTTTAAACAATGATCATCTAGCTCAGGGATCCTCAGTTCTGACAGCCTCCAAAGCCATGAATCAAGAACCAATACAATAAGTATTTCTCCAAATGATCTGTGGCAACCACACTCCAGTTCAAAGGGGGAAAAATGTATAGTACTTGAACCTTGATTTCTAGAGATGAGTGCAACATGCGTTACCACTCGTGGCTGTAGGAAGGATAGTCTGTAGGGGATAAGTTGAAGAACCATTTGACCATTTGTGGCTCAAGTGCTGTGTAGCCTGAATATAACTTCTGAAACTATGTCAAAATGAATGCAAACTATTTTGTGATCCCATATCAAACTTGCATCAGTCACCTTGAATGCACACATCTTGGAATTTTTCTGACTCAACTGTTTTTTAACCTTAGCACTGCATTAAATATAGTGGTAGCACTCATTATGTCCTTTGTAGCAAGACTTGCAACCTCCAAAGCTATTATCATCCATCAATCTCATTAATAAATCTTAACCTAAACAGGTACCAGTTGACCGTCTGATGCCTGTTACTAAAGGTCCCTAAATTGACTTCCAGATGTGCTATGCCTACACATTTATAGACAAATGTGCTAACTCAGGTGGCCCCACGAACATAGTATTAACTATCTTTATTGTTAATAGTTTAACTGTGAAACGGTTGAATTATTTCTCTTTGATCTAGGCTTGTTTTTTAAAAATGTGAGACAGAGAAGGGAGAGAGAGAGAGAGAAGAGAGAGACAAAAGAGGTGAGTATGCAAAAAGAGGAGAGAGAGAGAGAGAGAGAGAGAAGGGAGAGTGTGTGAGAGAGACAGGAGACAGAACTGCATGCCATTTACAGAACAAACCAAGTTTCAGCATTTCTTTTAAATCTTAAGGTATTTTTCTTTGATTAGCCAGGCCTGTCACTGCTACCGTGTTTTCCTGTCTCCTGATGACAGAGCCCAGACACAATTCAGGTTAGAACTATAGTCCCTCCTCTCTAGAATATCTACAGTTGATACCAAATCAAAAAGTTAAAACCTAGGCTGCATTAAACACACACTTCTCTCCAAAGAGCACATAAAAAGCTTCAGATCAGCAAACCACTACAGTACCAAGCTTACTTTTGAGCATGTGCTTCAATGTTTGATGAATAAAGATGAGGTACTGAAATAGGGTCAGAAAACTATTACTCTGTGCTATGGCAGCACACAGGGGTTTTCAAAACATTTTGTTACAGGTTGCAGATGCTTACAGGATTACCTAAAACGCTCACATTTTTTGAGAAATGAGGGGCCTCCCTTTGAGATGCTGAAGAATTATAATAGTCTATGTTTTCTGAAAGACTATTTATCCATGTTTTAGTTGAAGTCAAAGGAACCCTATAAAAGGTTTTGTGGACCTTTAAGTTTACTTGGCAAAAGGCCTAAGACAGCATGGAATTCTGAGAAACAATGACTTAGTTTTGAATTTAGAGGAGAATATATCACCACAGTAACAATACAAATCATTTTGAAGTCATCTAGTGAATGGCATTTGAATGCAGATTTTTATACGTATGAAGAAAAATCCACATACCTCAGATGTTAGCCATGAGACCACAGAGTAAAAGAATAGTCCATGGTTATGGAGAATTCATTTGGGAACCTGAGCTGATATAAAAATCTTAAGTTGCATGCAAAAAAGAGGACTGAATTATTGGGTTTCAGGGACTGAATTTAACTCAAGACATACATTTTGAAACTAGACTCTTTAGACCCATGTCTTTAATAAAGATTCAAGATCTTTCTTCTCTAATTAATGTGCAAAACCTCAAAACATCCATGAGACCATCCAGAAAAGCCACATAACTGGACATTTCTACAGTTAAAAACCAGGAAGGAGGGGAGAAAGAGTCTCTATGCCATTTTATACAAAACTAAAAAAACCCCATGTAGCAAATTTTAAATAGCTATAGTCAGACTAGCCTGTTGGTCATAAAGGATTATAGCTGCCAATTCACGGCAAGCAAGGTGAAGGAAAAGTATGGACTATCTGGCAATTTCCCCTTGCTTAAAGCAACATGTTGATAGCAGAAGCAGGATTAAAGGGCTCCTTTCAGAAAAAGGCTAAGTAAGCAGATCAAGATGCACAGAATGTCAAATGAGGTCACTGAAGTCAAGCAACACACTAAGAAGCAGAAGTTGAGCCAGACTGATAAGGAAAACCCCTTGACTAGCAAGTACATTTTGTAGAAGTAAACAGGTAATCTGGCCTCCCCCTACCTTGCCACCTCTTTCTTTGTAGGCAGAGAGGGTAAGTCAGGCCTGTTGAAGTAGTACGTGGCAGATGAGCTTCTAAAATTATTGCTTTCTGAATTACGAACAATACTGAGGCTCGAGTCAGAAGCAGCAGCAAGACTGGAAGGTAGAAGTGCAGAAAAAGCACTTCCTAATATAGTTCTTGTCACAGAATTACAGAATAATAGGGCTAGAAGGAACCAGAGAACCTAAACCCCTTCTCAAGGCAGGATCTCCCTTATACCCAAAGCAGGAATTGGTCTTCAAAAAGCAGATGCAACAGCAGTCCCTGGGGGTACCATAATTTTCTCACATATCACACACCTCTGAATAAAACAAACTTGTTTTTGGGAAGGCAGAATCAAAAATAAAAACGATATTCTCAAAGTTATGACCTTGTAGAGCAGGGACACATTCTAATGTTCAATTTATTCATCCTCCCTTTCCTGCTCAGGAAGAACTCTACATGCAGCTGAAAACTCAACTCTATCAGTAGATCTAAGATTTTGAAGTAAGCTATAGAAGTCTGCAGAGCTTTGAAAAAAGAGAAACAAGACCAGGAATAGCTAACGGACAACAAAATTGCTAAAGGATAGCTTGATTAATACAACCTCAAGACCATTAAAGAGAGGGTTGCTAATTACTGTGGGGTGAAGAGCAATTAAAAGGAGACTGGTAGATTATACTGAGTCATGAAATCAGTTAACTCCCTCAGCGCTGCCTGAACAGAAATGCTGCTACTGTGGCAGGGCAGTCTGTTTTAAACCTTGACTGGAGCAGGGATGAAACGGGGGTCCGACTTTCCCAGATCTGTCCTTGCTAGACTCCATCCCTCCATCCACATGGCTGCTGGAGGGAAGAGTAGGAAAAGCAACAGCAGCCACTTTGAAGCACCTCCAAACTTCTACTCTGGGCAGAAAAACCAGCTTCCCCACTGAAGATGTTCATTCCAGCTGTGGAAGGCTAATATTCGGGGGAAAGTGTATGCAGTATGTGCAAGCAAAGATGGTACGTTACAGGGCCAAAGTGCTGCAGAAGTCTGCTTTCCTCAGGCACTGAAGCCTCTGAGGGAAAGCAAACCCTACTTAGCTACACAGGGCCAGCAGGCAGGTCACAGAGCAGACCTGCTTGCAGCAGCTGCAGAGAGGAGGATGCCTGTGTCGCAGCAGCATTACCCAGAGCTGCTCGCTCAGAACAACAGGCTCTCTCATGTGCATCTCCCTCCTCAAACTGAAGAGCAGGGCCCTCCCTAGGCAGACACGAATTGGGGCAACTACCCCAAGCCCTGCGGACAGTGCCATACAGGCTGTCACCAGCCCCACCCTATGGCCCTGCACAGGCTGATATGCCCCGAGCCCCGCACACCCCTAGGGATGGCTCTGCTGAACAGATACCCAAGGACACTAGTCTGGTAACTTATACAGCTAAATCAAGTAACAAAATGCCACCCTTAGCGTTTTAAGGGCAAAGAGAAAGGGGGAGGCTGAAGACCCAAGAATGACCTGCTACAATTCCCAGGAAGTAGAAATAACCAGAGTTTTTCCAGAGAAGAGGAGGAGTTCTGACCTTGCTGGGAAAGATCTGACCATACAATCTGTGAAGCCAAAGTGGGGGGCGGGAAAAGGGAGGTGGAGACCCTATTATATGAATGGAGAGCCTAGATGAAATAGAAAACTTACATTTTCACAGTTATGAACAGTATCACTCAGGCTAAGTACAGACAGTCAGAAAGTGTGAGGCTGAATCGATTTAATCTAGGCAGCTTCCTCTAAGCTGCATAGGTTGACCGAATACCCAACTCAACTAATATTCAGTTTTCAATTCGGACAGGCAGGGGAAAGCCTAAACTGACCCAGGCCAGAAGGCATGGGGTGGTAGAGTGCACCCCCCAGCCTGCTGGCCATTGTCAGCCCAGCCAGGTGTCCCATTCCCCTGCTCCCCCATCCCAGCTGCTGATTGCTTCGGTGGCTACCGCAGCAGGGAGGAAGAAACAGTCCTCTGGGCTGTGCACCTGCCCATGCAACCCCTGCCTTGGGGCTTCCCACACCAGCCCCAGACAGCTCCAGGGAGCTGAGGGGCATTTAGCTGCTGAAGGTCTCAGGGACAGCCCTGGGAGCAGAGGGAAGTTTCTCAGCTCCCCTGCACTAGTCTTGCCCAAGATTCACAGAAGCCCCTCAGCTCCTTGGGGGTGTCCCTGGCTTGGGGTGGAGGGAAGTCCCCTAAGGCAAGAGCTCACCAATGCCCCCATGCTGGGCTGCATGGGCAGGTGCCCGACTTGGAGGACTCCTTCTCCCACCCTCTGTAGCAGCTGCTGAAGCAATCAGCAGCTGACAAGTGGGAAGGTGGAAGGGAGAAGGTTGCCAGGATTTGAAAAGCCCCCATCACAGGGGCTTTCCTTCCACTCCATGAGCTGTGTAGACCCTGGCTAGTGTGGTCTGGGGGGGTCTGTTCCCCTGCCCT